TTTTTTCGTTCTACAAAAGGTACTTTTTGAATTTTCTATAATATTGAACCTAGAAACATGAAATTAAGTATGCAGAGCCCGGATTAGGCCAGAACACATAAAAGGGGCCTTTTTGGTACTTTTTCGTTTACAAAAGGTACTTTTTGAATTTTCTATAATATTGAACCTAGAAACATGAAATTTAGCATGTAGGGCTTTGACTAGGTAAGAACCTATAAAAGGCGACTTTTTGGTACTTTTTCGTTCTACAAAAGGTACTTTTTGAATTTTCTATAATATTGAACTTAGAAACATGAAATTAAGTATGTTGAGCCCGGATTAGGCCAGAACAAAAAAAACGGGACTTTTTGGTACTTTTTCGTTCTACAAAAGGTACTTTTTGAATTTTCTATAATATTGAACCTAGAAATATGAAATTTAGCATGTAGGGCCTTGACTAGGTAAGAACCTATAAAAGGGAACTTTTTAGTACTTTTTCGTTTTACAAAAGGTACTTTTTGAAATTTCTATAATATTGAACCTAGAAATATGAAATTTAGCATGTAGTGCCTTGACTAGGTAAGAACCTATAAAAGGGGACTTTTTGGTACTTTTTCGTTCTACAAAAGGTACTTTTTGAATTTTCTATAATATTGAACCTAGAAACATGAAATTTAGCATGTTGAACCTTAACTAGGTAAGAACCTATAAAAAGGGACTTTTTGGTACTTTTTCGTTCTACAAAAGGTACTTTTTGAATTTTTTATAATATTGAACCTAGAAACATGAAATTTAGCATGTAGGGCCTTGACTAGGTAAGAACCCATTAAAGGGGACTTTTTGGTACTTTTTCGTTCTACAAAAGGTACTTTTTGAATTTTCTATAATATTGAACCTATAAACATGAAACTAAGTATGTAGAGCCCGGATTAGGCCAGAACACATAAAAGGGCCTTTTTGGTACTTTTTCGTTCTACAAAAGGTACTTTTTGAATTTTCTATAATATTGAACATAGAAACATGAAATTTAGCATGCAGGGCCTTGACTAGGTAAGAACCTATAAAAGGGAACTTTTTGGTACTTTTTCGTTTTACAAAAGGTACTTTTTGAAATTTCTATAATATTGAACCTAGAAATATGAAATTTGGCATGTAGTGCCTTGACTAGGTAAGAACCTATAAAAGGGGACTTGTTGGTACTTTTTCGTTCTACAAAAGGTACTTTTTGAATTTTCTATAATATTGAACCTAGAAACATGAAATTTAGCATGTTGAACCTTAACTAGGTAAGAACCTATAAAAAGGGACTTTTTGGTACTTTTTCGTTCTACAAAAGGTACTTTTTGAATTTTCTATAATATTGAACCTAGAAACATGAAATTAAGTATGTAGAGCCCGGATTAGGCCAGAACACATAAAAGGGGCCTTTTTGGTACTTTTTCGTTCTACAAAAGGTACTTTTTGAATTTTCTATAATATTGAACCTAGAAACATGAAATTTAGCATGTAGGGCCTTGACTAGGTAAGAACCTATAAAAGGCGACTTTTTGGTACTTTTTCGTTTTACAAAGGGTACTTTTTGAATTTTCTATAATATTGAACCTAGAAACATGAAATTAAGTATGTTGAGCCCGGATTAGGCCAGAACAAAAAAACGGAACTTTTTGGTACTTTTTCGTTTTACAAAAGGTACTTTTTGAAATTTCTATAATATTGAACCTAGAAATATGAAATTAAGCATGTAGAGCCCGGATTAAGTTAGAACGTATAAAATGGGATACAATTGGTATTTTTTGATTTTTTTGTAATAAAATTCGTACTGACTGTTTTTTAACACATCATGGTGAAGGGTATATAAGATTCGGCACAGCCGAATATAGAACTCTTACTTGTTTTTTTTCCCGTTTTCTTTAACAATTTTCTCTCTACTTAATAGGAAATATTGCTTGAATTTACCCTGGAGTAAAATTTTTATACGCACTCATGTTGGTTTTCTTTTTAAAATAAATATAAATGACAAATTTTTTTTTAGTACAGGATAACGTCCTTGTTGTTCAGACTGAGACCTGCATATCTGATGTGTAATGGTGCAATCCCAATATACTTACTTTAGTTATATGTACTTGTGTTTTATTTTATTTACCACATAAATAAACGATAGTATCAATACCTTTGCTTACCCATTAATTATACATTTATGATACATTGTAAATTATATAGTTAAAAGCTATTTTATGACTCTTATAAATTGTATAAATATTTTTATTTCTTTACATTTATTAAATAGTATTAATCAGTAATTGCTTCTGAATGGGACCTTATGTGTATTTGTTTATATTTGTAATTTTACTGGCTGGGGAGCCTGAATGAATAAATATATGTAACAAATTAATAAATGAATATTGAGCATATATTAACCTTTATAATATTTTTAAGGCGTATATTTTACTATGTAATATTGTTATTTGGGCCAAAGTGGCTTTATATTACTGAATAAATAAAAATAAATAAATAAATAAATGTCCATATAATCAGTAGGATAACAATAGTGTTCGCAAAAACATTATTACATTTTTCACTCCTTTTTTACGAAAATCAAATTTAATTTAATAATTTGTGGAATAGTTTACTTTTCAGGACGTAATATAATTAAAATATAAAGTATGAAATTTGTATCTTGCTGGAAAAATATGTTATACTAAAAATATTATAATTTTATGTTTTTGTGAACAGTTCTGGATGTCATTGTATATATGTATTATTGCATACCTATTTCTTCGTCCAGCCGGTTATTTCAACAATTTGTGTATAGCCCTTACCTTCTTTTTTTTTTTTGGACTCAAAATTAAAGGTTATTTAATGAGATTGTTTTAAAATTATAATAAAAAGCCTTAAATTTATTATTTGGACCGATATGTTTGCAAACTGGTCCTATTTTATGTCACACATTTTTATACAGCTTAAAATAAAATTAGTTAGTAAGTTATTGAAAAAAATAATGTTATTATATTCACAACAGATTAACAGAAATTTTCAGTTGGTTTTTCCAACTCAATTCTTCATAGGAAAGATTTAAAGGGCAAAACAAAACTTTCAAAGACCAGGAAGCTTTAGTTTAAGTAACATCACTGTATATAAAAGTCGTTATTGAATTCTAAGACGATCTAGCCATGTCCGTCCGTCTGTTAAAAGCATTATTCCCTTTAGGTAAGGTTTATTAGGTATGTATTGCGAACGGGCAATATCAACCCACGTGTTTACATACAAGTCGCTCTTTGAAATATTGTTTAAACCGCTATAAAAATTAAAATTAGGCAGAAAATATGCTGAAATTTTGAACATATTAGTTTAATGCACTCAGAAATTATTATGTAAAGTATTGGTGTATAATTTACTCTACACCTCATAGTACTCATTCTGAAAATGACTTTAACGCTCATAACTAGTTTGGAGACACCCACATATATATATATATATATATATATATATATATATATATATATATATATATATATATATATATATATATATATATATATATATATATAAGCTCATAACTACCTTTCACTTACATATAACTACCTTAAACGTATACGTTTATCAATGAAATTAGATACAAACTAGTTTTATAAGAACTAAAATACCTCTACTTAATTTTATATTTCTATCAATCGGACGATATTGGGTCAAACCGCCAATCAAGTTTCATGAGATCAAAACCCGTCATTCAGAAAGCAAATTCTCAATAAATCATTTTAGTATTATGATACAATTCTACAAAAATTATTTGTTTTAAAACATTCTTCTTAGAGGTCGATCCGTGACCAAATCCGAATTTAAGACCGTATTCTGATAATCACCCTTATATGCATAATAACATTTTCAAATAAATCTAATAAATGAGTGAATCGTAACAACGCATGTTTTTGATAATGGGTATATAACATTCAGCATAACTGAATATAATACTTTTATTTGTTTCCTAGAAATAGGAAGAGTATCTTAGAATGAACAAACCTTTAATTTTCAGTATGAACATCAGTACAGTTACATGTTCTTCATACAAACAGGGTCATCTTAACGTACATATCGCTCATTTACTACAAGCTTGTCACAACTTAAAATTGGAGAATTCGGAAATGACTACTACTAAATATGTCCCGTTCTAATGTCTTTCATAGAGTATTATCTATTTTCAAAAATGTAAATTATTTTCTGATTAAATGTGACTCGTGTTTTTCTTATATTTGATAAATAAAAATTTTGTTTATATTCAGATAAAAAACATTTTAACCACTTCTTTATATTTCAGGTTTTAATCAGATTACATTAGTTTACAACGATTTTGCTCATGGTATAAAACCTATATGGATTTCTTTATTTTGACCATCGAAGCCCAGAAAAAATATTTAAAAAAATGATGAATGAAATGATTCAAAAAACAAACAAGTCGCATAAGATCAGGGATATATTTTTATGTAAACACATACAAAAAAGTGAAACAGTTGTTTCCATATACATACTTTGTTATTGTTTTATACCAATCGTGTAAACACAAAAAATATAAATTATACGACTATTATTCTCTGTCATACGGATGGAATTTCATTTTACTTTTCATTAGATTTTACGTACGTAATGTGTGATCGTGTAAAGGGCCCTTAAATAGAACCCTTTGCTTATGTCTTGATGTATTTAGTAATAAACCAGAAGCAAATATGAACCATCATTTAACATAAAATGTATTTTAATAGAAGTTAATATTAATAGGAAGGGTTAACAACAATGTTAGTAGAAAGGGATAAATTATGGTTTTGTAAACCAATTAAAATTTTTGCAATGGAATATCGCATGTCTATCTGGTCGTGGTGCAAAAGCATCTTATTAATCAGCCCATATACACCGATCATAGAAACTATAATTTTTATGAGGATATAAAAGTAATAGAGTCTAAGTATAAATCATGCAATTACAGTTACTATCTACGATAAAAGCAAAAGAAAAAGAACAAAAAAGTTTACCATTGGATTGAATTGTTTTAACGATGGGTGTGGTATCCATGGCATGAACTAAAATATTTCAAAAAATATTATAAACAAATTAAAAAAAAAACAATTATTTTAATATCAAATGCAAACGAATTAAAAATGTTTATAAAAAGGATAGAAATTTAACGAAATAATAGCGAAATTTGGTTTAAAAACATAAACACTTACTATAGGTTACGACCAGTCCTGGTTTTGAGGGATAGAAAGGAAGGGGAATAGAGTATTTTAATGAGTTCGATTATTAAAATCAGAAACAGACTTAAACTATGTAATCATGGTAGTACAAACTGTTGTGAAACTACAGCTGTTGTGTTCAAGATTGAAAGATTTTTACATTTTTAATTACCTTCATTGCTGGCATAATCTAATGGCAAAGGCATATGATTGCTGGATTTTTTATCTATGTCATCCTGATTTTTGGACCTTAAAAACAGTACCGTAGCTACGATTACTAATACCAAAATAACTACAACGGCTACAGTAGCACCAGCGACCATGCGCATTTGAATATTGTCTTCGTAAACTAGATTGAATTAAAATATTTAAAAAGTCTTCAATCAAATTTATATATATATATATAAGATATGTACTACCTGAACTGACTCCTTGTTGGGTGTGAGCATATACAATATTGCTGTATGTTCCATAACCATTGAGAGTTTTGTAACGTACTTGTAATCCATATTCGGTGTTTTCATTAAGGTTTTCTATATGAGCTTTAGTTTCTTTAGTATTCAATGTGGTCTTGTTGATTGTATCAAAATCAGGCTTAGGAAACCATCGCACTTCATAAAATTCTATAGGAACATCACTTTGTACAGGTTTATCCCAAATCAAATCGATTTCATTGCTTGTTGTTGAAACTACTCGAACATTACTAACGGTTGATTGTATGGCCGACTCAGTAGTTGTGAAAACTATCTCAGCCCATTCTGTAGTTATCTGAGATAAATCAATATGCTGATTATTATTCGACGACGATGCCTTGTTTCCAATCACGACATCATCACTGCTTTTCGAAGTTTCGTCTTTGTCTAGATTACTAAACGATTCATTTGCATTTTTCTGCGTTTTTTCGTCAGCCGTTGCGTTTTCGATAATATATGACACACCATTCATAGAATGAATCTGAATAGTGTATGTTGTAACTGGCTCCAAATTGGTTAAGGTCAATTTAGTATCATTAAACGTATCTGCCGATGGTGTGAAAACAACATTGGAAGAGCATGAAGCGCAAACTACTTTATAAACAATGTCACTGCGATACTTTGAATTCTGATTATTATCAACAGTATGATCGCGTGCTGGTGTATTCCACGATAATATTGCACTGATGTGATCGACAAATAAGAGTGTAAGATTTGTTGGAGGACCCGGTGGTTTGTAACATGGCATATGTTTCCCATCACTAGGATGTCTAAAGAAACCTGATAAGCACTTGCAGTAGCCGGATGCTGCTTTCGAAGCGTTTGAATTTTGGGGGCATGGAATGCATTTACTGACTTCCACTGAGCGAAATGTGCCTATCGGACATTCTGTGTTTTAAAATATAAAATAAAAGCATAAAAACAATGGGTTTACTAAATACCGTCAATAATAATTTTAGCAGACATACCATTGCAACTTTTATTAGCCAAATCAGGTTCATATCCAACTTTGCAACGACAGCCGCCATTGAGTATTGTCCATTTTCCATCACCCTTACACAAATAAGTGGGCGGGATATATGGGTCGGCATTTTCTACACATGTTCCATTTTGCTTTTCAATGAGAGTTATTTCGCGACCAGTTGGAGTTTCATTGAAATGTGCCAAATTCTCTGTAACTGCTGGACATGTAATATAATAAACCTTGACAGCTAATACACTGATACACGCTCCTTGGTCACGAAAGGCAAAGTAAACACCCTTCTTAGTAACTGCGATACTTTTAACTTCGGTATTGATATCAACGTCACTGTTTTGATTGAAACGGCCTTCCCCAGCAGCAATACGTGCTATTAATTTATAGCTATCTGTTTGCCAGGGAGGTGGTTCACGCGTAGCAGCATCAAACTCATAATAAAGCAAACTGAATGTTTCCTTGCATGAAAGTGCATTTCCTATTAAATAAATATATTTTAATAAATCACTTTTAGATTAAATAACACTATGCGACAACAATGCATAGCTTGGATGTAATACCATATTTCTGAATGGTGGTTCCGAGTAAAATGAGAATTTATTTTAGAAATTTTCCAAACACTCCCAAAATCATGAGATTCATATAAAAACTCGCTTTTTATACTTTTACGCTTGTATTTATAAAAAAATCTTATTTTGCTTTTAATGCACTCAATAGTTAAAGCACACTTTAGCCTTAAAAACCATTAATAAAATTGTGATATTCATAAACAAATAATAAACGTATATTAGCTATTGTGCTGATTTATGTTTAAGTTGGCAGCACTGTACAATATGGCCGTCATTTTATGTGTTAGTGTTGCGTATAATTAGGATAAAATATTCGTTGATTCGGTTTTCTTAATTTCATATTTTTGTTTATAATAGATTTTTGACAATAAAAACAAACTTTTAAGAAAAATAAATATATATATGGCTTTAATAAATGTCTATTTAGTTCAGATGTATAAATATAACATATGATTTCTAATTATTATTAAAAGTATCCGAATAACGGATATTTTGCGACAAAATATACATCACTATGACACATTTTCTTATTTTTACTTATTTTCCTTGTAATTTTTGATAAATTTTTGCAAATATTGATAAATTTCTTTGATATTTGACTAATTTTAATGCCGGCGAATATATTTTGCATTAGTATAACACTAATCAATATAATTTACATGGTTAATTACTTTATGGCATTATATTTAACCAACAAACTTTGAAAAAGCCAAATCAAATGATTTTGTCCATCATTTGGTTGACAGACGGGCACTTCCAAATTGCCTAAAAATAGTGCTGGACAATTGGAATATTGTCAAATATTCATGCATTAATCCAATAATGCCTAGATTTGAGTTTTTTCCTCAAAATATACCTAATCGTTTAAAAATTTTCTGGGATTTTATTTACAAATTTGTAAACGTTAAAATTAGAATTTTTAGATTTTATTTTAAAAGAAACCATAATTAGTTTTCGCAATCAACCTAAAATTACCGGAAAAATCTTTATCTGAGAAAAAAATTGTTAAAAATCAACTTATTGTTGGCTTAAAGAAGGGTCGAGCCTACAATAAAATTCTTCTAATTGTCAATGGTTTATTGAAGGTGTTTTCAGCTATTTCACGTTTATAAATACGATTTTCAGGAATTTTGCCTAAAATTGTTTAATAAACCTAAAATAAGTTTTTATAAATACAGCCGTTAAACTTGGAAAATTGTGCAAAACTAAACTTAAAAATATGTTTGCTGATAAATGCACATATACATGTTTAAACATCATATTTGTATGTATGTCATTGTAAATTCCTTTTTATACCCTTCACCTTCCTGAGAAGGGTATATATAAGTTTGTCATTCGTTTGTAATTTTTATAGTAATATAGATAATTTTCCGACCCTATAAAGTAAATATATTCTGGATCCTTATAGATAGCGAAATCGATTTTGCCATGTCCGTCTGTCCGTCTGTCTGTGTGTATTTTGAAATCAGTTTTCAGAAGACCCCAGATATCTGCGAGATCCGAATTTTCAATAATTCTATCGGAAATACGGTCGAATAGAACGCTATTTAAAATCAGCCCAATCGGCCCATAAATAACGAAGATATTAGCAAAAATCCGAGACCGCCTCTGAAAATTTCATCAAAAATTTTCTTTTTTCGTGCATGCTTATACAAAACAATAAACAAACAAAAACAAAACACAGTATCAAACGGTAAATTTTTTTTTGTTATTTGTTATTGTAATTCTTGTTTATAAACACAAAGCAAAGAATGAACATCACGTTACGTTGTTATTGGCTAGAAACATCAAATTAAATATGTACAGTCTGGATTAGGCGAGAACACATTAAAGGGCACTTTTTGGTACTTTTTCGTTCTACAGAAGGTACTTTTTGAATTTTCTATAATATTAAACCTAGAAAAATGAAATTTAGCATGTAGTGCCTTGACTAGGTAAGAACCTATAAAAGGGGACTTTTTGGTACTTTTTCGTTCTACAAAAGGTACTTTTTGAATTTTCTATAATATTGAACCTAGAAACATGAAATTTAGCATGTTGGACCTTGACTAGGTAAGAACCTATAAAAGGGGACTTTTTGGTACTTTTTCGTTCTACAAAAGGTACTTTTTGAATTTTCTATAATATTGAACCTAGAAACATGAAATTAAGCATGTAGAGCTCGGATTAGGCCAGAACATATAAAAGGGGACTTTTTGGTACTTTTTCGTTTTACAAAAGGTACTTTTTGAATTTTTTATAATATTGAACCTAGAAACATGAAATTTAGCATGTAGGGCCTTGACTGGGTAAGAACCTATTAAAGGGGACTTTTTGGTACTTTTTCGTTCTACAAAAGGTACTTTTTGAATTTTCTATAATATTGAACCTAGAAACATAGTATTAAATATGTAGAGCCCGGATTAGACCAGAACACATAAAAGGGGACTTTTTGGTACTTTTTCGTTCTACAAAAGGTACTTTTTTTGAATTTTCTATAATATTAAACCTAGAAACATGAAATTAAGTATGTAGAGCCCGGATTAGGCCAGAACACATAAAAGTGGACTTTTTGGTACTTTTTCGTTCTACAAAAGGTACTTTTTGAATTTTCTATAATATTGAACCTAGAAACATGAAATTAAGCATGTAGAGCTCGGATTAGGCCAGAACATATAAAAGGGGACTTTTTGGTACTTTTTCGTTTTACAAAAGGTACTTTTTGAATTTTTTATAATATTGAACCTAGAAACATGAAATTTAGCATGTAGGGCCTTGACTGGGTAAGAACCTATTAAAGGGGACTTTTTGGTACTTTTTCGTTCTACAAAAGGTACTTTTTGAATTTTCTATAATATTGAACCTAGAAACATAGTATTAAATATGTAGAGCCCGGATTAGACCAGAACACATAAAAGGGGACTTTTTGGTACTTTTTCGTTCTACAAAAGGTACTTTTTTTGAATTTTCTATAATATTAAACCTAGAAACATGAAATTAAGTATGTAGAGCCCGGATTAGGCCAGAACACATAAAAGTGGACTTTTTGGTACTTTTTCGTTCTACAAAAGGTACTTTTTGAATTTTCTATAATATTGAACCTAGAAACATGAAATTTAACATGTAGGGCCTTGACTAGGTAAGAATTTATTAAGGGGGACTTTTTGGTACTTTTTCGTTCTACAAAAAGTACTTTTTGAATTTTCTATAATATTGAAACTAGAAACATGAAATTTAGCATGTAGGGCCTTGACTAGGTAAGAAGCTATAAAAGGGGACTTTTTGGTACTTTTTCGTTTTACAAAAGGTACTTTTTGAAATTTCTATATTATTGAACCTAGAAATATGAAATTAAGCATGCAGAGCCCGGATTAATTTAGAACGTATAAAATGGGATACAGTTGGTATTTTTTGTAATAAAATTCGTACTGACTGCTTTTTAACACATCATGGTGAAGGGTATATAAGATTCGGCACAGCCAGATATAGAACTCTTACTTGTTTTTTATAAATCCGTTGAGAAATTTGAAATCGGTTTATATTCAACTAATTTACTGATTTATAAATTCTTAAAGGTACAAAAACCGGTTTTACACCTTCATATCTCAAAATTTTGGAGGTCTTTAGAAAACTTCAAAAGCAGATTATTATTGTACTCTATAATACCTTTTAAGAAAATAGTATCACTTCCCAGGTATTTCTATTTTCGTTTATTTTGTCTTACTGTGTCATGTGTTTTTCTTTGTTTTTTAATGTATAACATGCCCAGTAAAAAATTTTTTCAGACATGTCTGATGTCAGAAATTTTCTGAAATAATTCTTATACTTTAGCAGAATTTTTAACGAATTTTTAAATTTTCTTCAGACATTTTACAGAATAATCGGCAAACTGTTTGTTAGATTTTTCTGCACATTTTCTGAAGTATTAAACGATTAACATTAGACTTGTCTGCACATTGTCGAAAGGAAATTTCAGTGTTACGACAATTATGATACTAATCTGCACATTGGCCGAGGACAATTTGTTTTTTTATTCCTATATTATTTTTTAGACATAAAGGAGAATAGTCTGTACATTTTCTGAAGTAAAATACAAAATGGCTTAAGAATTATATCCGATAAATCTGCATATAATCTGAAGAGAATTGTTTTTGTAACTTCAGACAATTAAGCGAATAATATAAATTTCCTTAGATATTTAACAGAATAATCTGCTAATTTTCTGATATTTTTTGCTCGGTCATTTTGTTCCCATTTTCTGTACTTTTGTAAGAAAACTTTGCGACAACTCTGCACATTATCTGAAGGAAATTTTGTTTTTTTTTAATAAAAATCATGCACAAACCTGTTTATATTTTGAAATTCGTCTACTGTACTTTAAAAGGGAATTTAATTTTTATTTTCTCAGTTGATCTTTGGAAATCAAGTAAACAACATCTGCATATGTGATGATTATTGTTTAAATTTCTTTAAACTTTGTTAATACACAAAAATTTGCAAAAAAAATTACATAATTTTTTATGGTTTAATTTTATAAATTTAAATAGATGTATATAATGAACTCTATTTTCGTATATAATATGTAAGTAGTATGGTTTAGTTTTAAAAATAATCTATAAGTTTCTATTATTTATTTAATTTAATTTTATTTCCAAATAAACCTAGCCTCTTGGCCATAATTGGTTACAAATTTCTACTTAAAAAATTATGTACCCTTAAGAAGTCAAAAAGGTAGCCTTATACCCAGTTCAACATAATAATACAATTCTTCATTTTAATGGGGAAAACAATGTGGCAGACTGTGGAAATCAACTGGTAGCAATCGGAAATTGCAGTACTACACTGACAACATCATTTTGCAAAAAGTTGGCTTATTCAACATGCGCACTAAAACTTCATTCTGGTGGTCACGCATACTGTACCACTCGGC